AATTGATGTCTGAGGTGCTAGTATACAGCAATACATCTCATTGTGTAACATTGGTGCCCTATAATCCATTTGCAAAGCCAGTGACACTCATGAACTCTTGATGTAGCTGAAGGAGATGTCTGTAAAAATGTTTAACGGTAGGAAATGTAGTGCAGTGGGTGTTTCTTTATTATTTTTAAAGGTTGGCTAGATTTCCTTGGCTCTGTTTCCCTTTGTCAAGACATTGTTGGGTTGGGGTGGCTTACCACATTATATCAAATAGACCTTACATAGCTAATATACAGCTTGTTATATACTTGTGCTCACTTTAGCAGACAAAACAAGAGATGATGTGAACAGGAGATGCTTTTTAAATGAACACTCGAACACAAAAAAACAAATGTGATCGTTGCCATTAGTCAGAAACCACAATTCTTAAAATTGTCAGATTCAGGGATAGGGTCTACGCACCAAATTCACTGCATTAAAGGACCACTATAAGGCACCCAGACCACTTCAGCTCAATGAAGTGGTCTGGGTTCCAGGTCCCTCTAGTGTTAATCCTGCAGCTGAAAACATAGCGGTTTCACCGAGGGTTAATCCAGCCGCTAAAGGCGCTTCCGCGATTCTCACTGTGAAAATCACAGTGAGAAGACGCTGGACGTCCATAGGAAAGCATTGAGTAATACTTTCTTTTGGCGGTTTGAGTGCGTGCGCGGCTCTTGCTCCACATGCGCATTCGGATCAGACGTCGACAGGGAGTGGAGATTTCCCCAGCCCAGAGGGAGAAAGGTTAGTGGCTGAAGGGGTTTTAAACCCTTCAGACCAGCGGGAGGGGGGACCTAATGACCCTATAGGGCCAGGAAAAAAGTTTGATGTAGTGGTTTGGGGGGTGTTGTTTTTTTGTTTTTCTAAGAGCTACATTTTCTTGTCACTGTTTATATGGCACTGAATCAAGGCTAGTGGCTTGTTGTAGCTACTGGTTTCAAGCAGGAGCCCAAATCAACCTCTTTCTGTGGTCTGTTGGCTGTGCAAAACATTCTTTGTGATTCAGCTAATTCAGTTGAAAGAAACATTATTTTTTTTAATTTTTTTTATTTTAAATATTTTCATAGAAATATGGTTACCTGCTTTTGGATCGAGCGTAACGTGGTTTTATTCTATTTTTCTCCAGAGTCATATGCAGACAGATGGGGCATCCTCTTTGTTGCTTGCTGACCCTTCCAGTGACCACCTGTTATCGCCAGTGTTTTCTACACCTAATGGAAATGTGGACTCTTCCTCATTCAGTTAGCGAACAGAGTGGAAATAAGGGTTTCATGCTGTTAAAACATTAACTTCTAAACAACCTAATGTGATTGTTTATTTTCCACCACCTTATGGAAGCTAAATAAAATCCCTAAGTTCCTTCTAAATGACAACTGGATGGATCTCAACTCAAGATGGCCTTATCTCTAATACGTTTAATGCCAGTAAAATGTTTATATATACAGTCATAAATTGAATAACTCCTTAAATGTTACTTCCACTTTTTTGTTAACCTGCTTTGCCAAGGTTTTCCTTTTTATGATTGGTACTAGCATATTAGAAACTACAGAAAATGCACTACAGTTGCAGAGAGCAAATGTATAAATCTAGACAGTGTCAGAAATACTAATGAAAAGTTGTTTTCTCTCCTTTTAAGGAGTATTTTTACTAGTAGTGTATTACAAGCTGGTTTCTGTTTGCACCATTCCTAGTATTAAATATGACTGAAATATTTCATATTTTAGGTATCACATCTTACAATAAAGTAATTGTAGTTCTGATCATTTTTATTTTCTGTTCTTTCCCCTTCTTTTACTTCGTGTTCGTGTTTTGTGTTAGAATGGACCCTGCAGTGCATTATAGTAATAGCATTTAAAATACATTTGACTATATTGCCTCTCTATTCTCCCAGATTTTATATCTTCATTTTCACATTTCTCAATTACAAGATTCATAAGAGTAAGTCACATTGGACGTGATAAAGTGTGTGTCTTTGTCCTAGTGAAACAATGGATTTAGTAATAAGTGAGGAAGCATATCATTCCTGATGAAACATGGTAGTATTTAAGTTGGTTCCTGCCATCAAAGCAGAAAAGACAGAACTCTCATAAGCCAAGTATTAAAGTGCGACGTACCTTTTTAATAATTGTACCAACACTTCATATAATAAAAATCTTTTCAAGCAAAAGCATGTACTTGTACATAAAAATCAATTTAGTGTTCCTTCAAGTGCCAAAACACCTGGTCTGTGCAGCATTAATTGTGCCAAATAATACACACAATATATAGGTCTAAGAGGAGCAAAGCAAATTATGTCCACATATAACGTACCATGATATGGCATCTGAACTCACTTTTAAAAGTATCCCATAACATAGTCACTGCATTAATGGAAGCCCAGATAATTCTCAGGATGATAAATAATATAAAATCACAGAAGTGATTTACTTGTACAGGGACTTGTCAAGTTTGATACAAGGTGTATTAAGGCATGGGATATAAGCTTTCACTTCTGTAGGGAAAAAATATAGATTCTTTTCTCAGCCCAAACTGTTTTTTAAAGAAAAATAAGCAAATCTGTCTACTCAATGTTCCAGGTAGGAATATGAATATTGGTATACTATTGGACAACACAAATTTCATTTTGATAGATTTAGAATATGCATCAATGGGTATTCCAAAAGTAACCGCGTGGTATAAGCATAAAATAGAATGTGACTGTAGATAAGAACCATTCGACCTATCTAGTCTACCCAATTTTCTAAATACGCTCATTAGTCCCTGACCTGATCTTACAGTTAGGATAGCCTTATGACTATCCCACGCATGCTTAAAGGACCACTATAGTGCCAGGAAAACATACTCGTTTTCCTGGCACTATAGTGCCCTGAGGGTGCCCCCACCCTCAGGGACCCCCTCCCGCCCGGCTCGGGAAAGGGGTTAAAACTTACCTTTTTCCAGCGCTGGGCGGGGAGCTCTCTGCCTCCTCCGATCCTCCTCCTGGGCTGAATGCGCATGCGCGGCAAGAGCTGCGCGCACATTCAGCCCGTCGCATAGGAAAGCATTTACAATGCTTTCCTATGGACGCTTGCGTGCTCTCATTGTGAGCTCTCATTGTGAAAATCACAGTGAGAAGCACGCAAGCGCCTCTAGTGGCTGTCAATGAGACAGCCACTAGAGGAAATAGGGGGAAGGCTTAACCCATTCATAAACATAGCAGTTTCTCTGAAACTGCTATGTTTATAAAAAAAAAATGGGTTAACCCTAGAAGGACCTGGCACCCAGACCACTTCATTAAGCTGAAGTGGTCTGGGTGCCTAGAGTGGTCCTTTAAACTATCTCACTGTGTTAACCTCTTCCACTTCAGCTGAAAGGCTATTTCATGCATCCACTACCCTCTCAGTAAAGTAATACTTTCTGATATTTTTAAACCTTTGCACCTCTTATTTAAGGCTGTCTTCTTGTTGTGGTAGTTTTTTTTTTTTGTTTTTTTTTTCAAATAGTCTCCTCCTTTGCTGTGTTGATTCCCCTTATGTATTTAAATGTTTCTATCATATCCTCCCTGTCTCACCTTTCCATAATTGGTTTAGCACTGAAAATAAAATTAACATTTATTTATATAGTGCCAACAGATTCCGCAGCACTTTACAAGGAGTGGGTGGACAAACAAATATGTAGTTGTAACCAGACAAGTTGGACACACAGGAACAGCAGGGTTGAGGGCCCTGCTCAATGAGCTTAAATGCTAGTGGCAGTGGCATAAAGTGACATGAAAGGTAAGGATAGTATTAAACTAATGACAGTTGCAAGAGAGGAATCAGTCGGGAGCTATTAACAGTTTAATTGATATTGGTGGGGGGGAATTACTCTGATGCCTGTATTTCAAAGAGCTATAATTTGATCATCATTGATCTTGAGTTTACACTGTTAAAGGGACAGTATAGTCACCAGAACCACTACAGGTTTTTTTGTTCTGGTGAGTATAGCCTGTCTTTGTCCACCTCCAGTGGCAGTCAATCAGACGACCACTAGAGGTGCTTCCTGAATGAATGTACTTTCCCCATTGATACATTAATTCAATGTATCTATGAGGAGATGCTGATTGGTCAGACTCAGAGTGGTGTTATGCTCTGCCCCCTGCTTCGTTGACATCATAATTGGTGATCAGTCATTTCTGATTATCTCAGCCAGGGGGCCAGACTTGCACAGTGCTGCCAAAAGGGTGAGCTTTACAGCTTTGTAAGGAGGGGCTGTCCACCTTAAATGTGTTACCACAATTGGGTCAAGAAACCCTAGTTTAAAAGAAAGGCGGGTACTCATGTATTTGCTTCATATGCATTTCAACATACATAGACCACACATGATGGCCTTATGCAGTAAGAACTACCAGGTATATGAAAATACAGTTTTAATCCTGTGAATCTAGATTGCTGGACTTGTAAGATCAAACTTTACCAACCTCCATTAAATAGGTTTTCTTCCCAAATGGTATATCTGAAGAGGCAAATTCGGTGTCCCTTGATTAACCCATTAGATGAAGGATAACTTCAATGCAAAGTTAACACTTTTTTGCACGCTATATATGCAAACACGTGATTAATAGGCCAAAGTAAAGAACAGAATCCACACTATGTAATAGTTACTTATTAGCAGTGCATATTCTGTTGGGAATTAAGGTTTTACATCGTCATACACAGCAATTAGCTCAAGCAGTGTTATAGGAGATGTATACATATATAAGGTATTCCAAATCTGAGACTAAAAAATTGGAAATTCTAGTGTAAAATTATTATACACAAAACACATACATATACACACTCCCATTATATTGATTTCTAAGCCCTCCTAATATCACAGCGTATAATTTTGAAAAAAAAAGTTTATATCTTTGAAAACTTTATTATCCAAATTATAAAGAGATCACTGTTCATATTAAAAAGGAAAAGGCCAGCCTTTTTCGGGGCTCTTGACGCCCTTGGCAGGCAAAGCTGTGCAAATTTATGAGTTATACAGAGCCTGGACCGGGGAGCTATCAATCGACACTGAGGCCCCAGGCGAGGAGTGTTGGAGACCCATTACAGCTGAGCTGTATTCCAGTAAATGGCGGTCCACTGGCCAATCCCTCTCTACACAACATACCTGGCTCGTCTGCCTCCAATTCCACATCGCAACGGATCCTCGCCAAGTCATTTCTCTTGGCCCTGTATCAAGCCTGGCTGGTGGTGGACTGGCTACCTGATAATAGGCCTACAGCTGAAACTGGGAACAATTTCCTGCCAATAGCTGGGGTTGGATGACCTATGCTTGGGAACTGGGGTGCCTCTCCATGTGTAGCCCACCTAAAAGTTAATTTTATTCCTCTAAACGGCTTACATGTTTCTGAGGGCCCAGGGGTCTTTCTTCCCCATGGCATGCTTTAGCTAGCATTACTTCCATTCCTAATGTCTTATTTTCCATGCTATGCTGTTTTTTTTTTCTATAATTGTAAAAATGTGCAGCATTTCTGACATATATTACTAATTTCTCATGTCAATTTTGCTTAAGCCAATGTGATTCAACCATCTTGTATTTTCATGCCTGCAATACAAAAATAAATCATTTAAAAATAAAATAAAGTAAAAGGCCACTCCGGTATCACAGGAGACAGATTTAAACTAGTGTTGATAGTATGATATTATAAAAAGGTTAACTACCAGGTGCTAAAAAAAATAAAAGAGTGACAGAGAGAGAAAGATATTGTATCACACCACCAAGTGGCAGATGTGATGCATCAATGTTACTTTGCATATATAATACATGATGTTGAAAGCAATATATATTTTAATTTATTTGTAGTCGGGGACAAAAGCCGTATACATGATAAGTTAGATATATGAGCAAGTCGGTTGTGGTGTGCCGAAACCGACGTATCGGGTAGGCCTGTAATAAAAGAGGGCAAAAAGTTGAATAAGATACCTTATTACACATCTTTACATTGCAAGATTCGTAAAGGCTTGTCCTACTCAACTCTAGCTCTGGTTGTGGTATGTATCTAGTAATATACTGTGGATT